TTATGAATTAATAAATTCAGAAGCCATAATCGCAATCAATGGTTGGTTAATATCTTAGAGTCCTCATCTCTACTAAATTGAAATGAAATTCAAGTCTTAAAGTGCAAAACACTAATCATCTTTAAAGTATAAACGTTGCAAAAATTTGCTCTAAAATTATTTACGGTCTAATACAGTAAAAATAAAACCGTTTAAAATACATTCTGCGTTCATGTAACCAATGATATCAACATTTTAATTTCAAACTAAGGAAATTTTGCATTCGAGTAGGTAAACACACTAATTGTATCAAACCATATGTCATTCGCTGCCCTTTATTCAAATATAATGCAATATTTGAACAAAGAAGATAACACTTCATATATATTCAACCATTGTTCGAATTATTGGGCAAAATATAGAACATGATATTGTTGCATAGACATTGGCATAAATTACATATTTAGAGTTACCTATATTTTAGAATAACAAAGTGATATAGAAATGTTTCGCTGCCGTTATCCATGTTTCGTAACGTTTTCACTACTCCTTGCATGACAAATGTTTCTTGACTCTTCCGAGTAGAATTTCTCATCACGAAACGACTTCGTTATTCGAGTCTAGCATATTCACTTTTTACTTTGACAATCATTTTATCGGTATATACACTCGACAATAGTTGTTTATGATTATTTGCTCTTCGTGCTATTGAAATTCAGTGCACGTTATTGAAATTAATGTAATCATTACAATTATTTATAGCCTTTTAGCTCTTGCAGCTTTCGATTTTGTTTTAACTCCGCAAAATCGTGCACGACGTGAAATTTAATTTATAATGAACCTTTACTTCGTCATTATTTTACATTCATGAGAATTATATTTATATACATTTTTAAGCATTTAGGTAAGTCTTGGATACTCAAATCTTTCAACCTTTGAATTATTTAAATTCAATACAATACTTTAGCCCAATTTATCTAGCATTGAATGTTAAAAGTTGGAAGGTAGCAATTATTCATAATACGTATATCAACGATCGCGATGAAATGACATATTAATCAAGTCTCAAACCTAGATGATTACAATAGGAAATCGTTATGCAAAATGAATTGCTCATTAGACGTCAAATGTAAAATAGATTTTACTCGACTGTACGTCATCGGTTGTACTGTTATAGGTCGGTTACTCATTGTAGCATCGATGAGTATATACAAAGATATACATATAGATTATAGATATAATGACTGAATGTAATACGGGTTCATATAATCCATCATTAACAATGACCCTGTCTGAACCTTTATATGACGTCATAACAGTACACATCAATAATACGTCTGGTTCATCATTAGCTCTGACATTCATCAATGTACGCTTCGTCAATGCACGTGGCCGTCGTTCAAGGATATTTAATTTGTTGATTCATTAGCATTTATCGAAGTACGTATGAAACTTTCAGCGAAGCATTAAATGCGATGATGAATAAACTGTGGTACCTTCGCTGTGGTGCTACTGTGGTACCTTCGCTGTGGTGCTGCGGCACTGTGGTACTTACGCTGTGGTGCTGCAACGCGGGAGAGGAGCGGTTGGCGTCTGAGCGCTGAGCTGGAGCGCGGCTGCTGCTATGCGAGTTGCTGCACGATTTATTACGAGTTTAATTGCCGAACCGATCAATACGCCAATCCCACGTGCCTTTGATAGGCCATGAAAAACTATTCGAATCCACGATGAATAGATAACGATATTCGAGCCAACAAAAGCGTGAAATTTATTTCATTCACACCATCATTCGGTGCACTGCTATTGCATGGTGAATGGATAATGATGGATCAGACACCTCTAAGATTACAGATTTATCACTGGAAAAATGGCCTTTGAGATTCGTGGCCAGCTTTTTCAATAAGCCATAGACAGTTTTTGTGAGACCTCGTGTGGTCACCAAGAACACACATGCGTTTGATGGTTATTCATCCAAAAGGCTGCTTTCTCTGCTTCCCTAATGCAGTTTTAAACCTTATATATCATGGATATCGGGTTCAATGCAAGTCGATGAGGATCACGATTGCAAACTATAAGATGGTACAAGCGGAATCACACCACACAATATTGTAGCAACTTCAGGCAGATATCATGCATAAATTAAACACAAGTTCTCTTTGTGGGGATGAACGCGGCTAATAATAAAGCGAGGTGGCATGTAGAATGTTATTGGACTTCAATGATGCTATAGCAGGTTGTGAATGTTGTATTCGGCGTTCTTATGATGTGACCAGATGATAAATTAAGGCGATAAAATCCAGAGTCTTGCAAGAAATTGGCTATCACTACTAGGCGAAGATGAGAATATTTTATTTAGAATATGATATGTTGTTTATGCGCGAATAAAAGTTGGATGCGTGAACACTGAACACACGCGCGTTGGTTTTTCTTTAGCGATTGGTGACACAGAAGAATTGACACTTCTTAGGTTAGCATAAAATTGAACAGAGATAATTTTCAATTCCATTTTAGCAAGGAAATGTTCTGGTTGCTCCTGCAACAACATTATAAATTGTTCCTGTGTGCCATATCATGTTCTTGTGTCATTTTATGACAAACTTTTTATCAAATTGGAAAACTATTTGTCACCACGAAGGTCTCAAATCACGAGTGTACCTAAAAACGGTGAATTTTGCTAAAAAAATCTAGGACACTGACAGAACGATGAAACTTCCAGGATCTCTGCACAAGTTGTGCAAGAAAAATGGTAAGTAACGAACAGAGCTGGGCAGCGCTACTTTGAAATGTAGCGGCGCTACCGCTGCCGCTACATAACATAGTGATGTCGGCGCTGAAGCGTAGGCCTGATGTGGCCTGTCGCCGGGCGACACATGCCCTAAATGTAGCGGGCGCTACCGCTACACCCACTAGATTGTAGCGAGCGCTATCGCTACCGCTTCAGTAAAATGTAGCGCCGCTACAATGGCCAAATTGATTGGAAATCTTTAAAACTTTTATTGTTCTGCTATTGGGATTTACTCAAGAACATTTAATGATAAAAAAACATTTTCAAACTTATCAATGCAACTTTATTGCAAGTAACCTAACCGAACTAGTACGGGTTAGATACAGTAAACAAAAGTTACATTTATTTTTATGTTTTACCTTCCCTACATGGATATCTACTTTAATCTACCAATCTAAAAAATTATCCACATATACATATAAAAAATCAGTCTTTTATTTGTATATGTATGTGGATTATTTTTGAGATTGGTACATTAAAGTAGACATCCATGTAGGGAAAGTGAAACATAAAAATAACTGTGTGAAAATAACTGTGCGCAAACTGAAACATGAAAAAATACCTGGAAGTGGCAACTGGTAGCAACTTAACAGGTAACAACTAACATGTTGACACTACGTAGTAACAGGCTGAGGTTGCCAACATTACATCGAAATCTTTCGTAGTTTTGTTCTGTAATTTATATTATGTATGTATCATGCTGGTTTTTAAATAATATTTAATACTATTGAGTAAAATCTAAAGGCTTTACCTATAAATGTAGCGGTAGCGCTGTAGCGGCAAAACCTCGTATCGCTACTTAAATATGTACATAGCTGACGATTGATTGAGATAGCTGCTGGACTTATTGCCTGGTCCTTAATTTGCTAGGCATTTTAAGACTGAACATATGCTCCTGCATAGCTTCGTCTAGTCTGTTTTTGAAGATGTTCATACTCGGAGCGCCAACGATGTCATCAGGGAGGCCGTTATACCTGTCGGTGACTCGAAGCGAGAAGAAATGTCGCATGGATGTGTTCCAACGCTGTTTTTTTAGTTTATAGCCGTGGCCCCTGGTGTTGGTTCTTGTTTCAAATTCTAGTAATCCTTCTGGGACCTTGTATAAGCCATGAGTATACTTGTATATGTATTTCAATGAGGTCCCCACGCAGACGTCGATAACTGAGGCTTAGTAAATAAAAGTTACATTTATTTTTTGTTTTACCTTCCCTACATGGATACCTACTTTAATCTACCAATCTAAAAAATTATCCACATATACATATAAAAAACAGTCTTTTATTTGTATATATATGTGGATTATTTATGAGATTGGTAGATTAAAGTAGACATCCATGTAGGGAAGGTGAAACATAAAAATAACTGTGAAAGTAACTGTAAGCAAACTGAAACATGAAAAAATACCTGTAAGTGGTAACTGATAGCAACTTAACAGGTAACAACTATCATGTTGACACTAGTAACAGGCTGAGGTTGACAACACTACATCGAAATCTTTCGTACAGTTTTGTTCTGTAATTTATATTATGCATCATTCTGGTTTTTAAATAATATTTAAAACTATTAAGTAAAATCTAAAGGCATTACCTATAAATGTAGCGGTAGCGGCAAAACCTCGTATCGCTACTTAAATATGTAGCGGGCGCTACCGCTACATTGCTTTAAATGTAGCTCCGCTACCGCTACTGAAAATGTAGCGACCGCTACATGTAGCGCGCTACTGCCCACTTCTGGCCTAACGAGGGGATGCATACCTGGCTGCGATTTCTTCAGTTCGACTCGCGATGCGTAACTTAAACGAAAAATCGATTGGCAGTTCGCCCAGCTGATAGCAGTTAATTACTTTATCCGTTTTGGGTACATAGTTTATTTCCCCCATCCCTTGTCTCAAATTATATCGTTTCAAATCTAAGTTTACCTTAGATTTGACTCTCATTAGTTCCACAAAATCAATAGCAGTTTTATCGAACTTTTTTTTCTCTCACATGGTGCGAAAAGCGAGCTTGAAAACTAAACTTCTAAGCAATAGGTAATTGCCGACACAGTCCCGATTCGCAAAACTTACATTTCAGCACAATATGAAGCTGTCGTACAGACTATATAAATTCGAGAATCCAGCCCAGAAATTAGAAAAAGTTTCTCGCGAACTGGAACCATCGCATAAAATATACTCCCATTCTAGTACAACGTATACCTGAAGAATCAAAAGTTCATGGAATAAATTAAACAATGCAGGTCAGACTCGTGAATTTTTTATTTCAATGCTGGCAATGAGAGGCGAAAAACTCATTTTCAGAGACGATGCCAGGACATGAGGATCATATTGCACGGAGCCGCCGCGCTCTTTGGACACGAGTTCGTACTCTTGCTGCCACAGAATCTGCGTCCAAAAAATTGACATTTAAAAATCGCATAAAATTTGCTCTAGGTGGGAATGAAAATACGAGCTAGTATGTTTTACTCTGGTGAAAACGATCTTTAGCTATTCATTTGGTAATATGAAGAAAGAACACTTGAATATAATAATAAGAAACAAGTAACATTGAGTTCAAAATTAATAACAGTAAATTATAGGTTCTGGAAGCCAAAAAATCGAAAATAATACACTAGGACCTGGCAAAACTCACCCGAGGGCAAGGTTTCTCTTCCAATGATCCAGGCTTAAAGCAAACACCGATGATGTCACCGCCATAAGCATCGTGGAAGATCAGTGCTATGGAGCCAATGCGGTCCTGAAAAATCGGTTTTTATTAAAGTTTTTAGGCGGTTAGCCTAAGTTATTCTTCATTAATACATCACCGCATTTGTATAACACCTGAGACGTTTCAGGAAATAAACCCAAGATATATAAACCACATTGTAACACAAGTTAAAACCTTCATAAAAAAGATTCCCCATTGAATTACGCTGTACATACACGTTCGATTACCTTTCGTTCCAAACAACAAAATGCAGACTTACTTTGAGCACCTGCAGCAAAGTAGTGTAGATGTTGACTTCTGCAGGAGAGCGTGGCTTACAGATGGTCTGTGTTTGGTCCTCGCAGGTCATCCTCATTAGCTTCACTTTTTTGACATCAAAATTGAGATTTTCTTCATACCGGTAAATATGCTCCGGGTTCAAACGAATAACCATGTCGAAGTATGATAACGATGGTTGAAATAAAGACTGCAACAAAGAAATATATGTAAGCAAAATACAAGAAAGAATTTGAGACAGGTATTTGACATTAAAAAAGCTGACGGTACAGTATTCGACATCAAAGGCTTTTAGCACGGAACGTGCAAATATGTTACTTGCATATTTAAAGCAAACGGCAGTGGCTTTATATCAATCTTTAGGATTTACTTTCGGCTTTTGTAATAAAAAGCAGATTTTAATCTACACCAAACTTCAGTCTTCATTAACACAAGATCGCAAGAGAACAACTAACTACCGTGAAAAATTGGAAAAAGTTCAGTTTCCAACATTCCGTGCAAGAAATCAATTTCGAACCAATCTTTGTTCGCTCAGTTGCCCATAACTAGCATCTCATTGGCTATCATTGGAAAATTCTTCGAAAATTTTCTTTTGTGCATCACATATACGGTATGTCATAACATTGGCTGCAGCTATAGTAGGCACAAAATAAAAAAAAATTGTAGATAATCTACTTGAAGAACAAAACGAATATGGTTGCAATTGTACATCAGGGAGCAACATGCATGTTAAGAGTCAACTCACAGCGCAGTCGAAAGCAGGATTAGCACAGTTGTCGGTGTAAGAGGAGAGGCTCTGCGTTGCAAGGAGTTTGGCGAGAGCCAAGACGTGAGCGTTGGGACTCTCACGGCTACAGTGAGACACCAGCCCATATCTGTGATATAAAATCAACGTTGATTAACATCAACACTTCCGCGCAAGAGCTTCAAAAACAGGCTGCCAGGAATCGAATTAGGTTTTTGTTTGCCAGGCATTATTTATGAGACAATTAATACTACTACCTCCTTCATGCTTAGTACCTCTCTTCTATTATCGGCTCATTCAAATTGCAATTTTAATCTACAAATTAAAGTAACTACAGCTACGATAGCGACGATTAACTCGAGTACTCGACTCTAGAGAACTCATAATTTTTACATGAGGTGCAGTGGCCTGCACCTGAACTTAATAAGAGTTACTATAGCTATGATAGCGATGAATGTCTGGAGTACTAAAGTCTATAAAACTCGTCGTTTTTACAGTGACCCTCACCTGAACTCAAGGGTGCTGCGACTGACATTCTCAATGCCATCAGCCTCGAGCTTAGCAAGGCTTCCTCTCACGTCATACGGCGTCACCAAGAACAGCGGCGGCAAAGTCGACCGCTGATTGTTGAAGCGCAGTTGTAGTTCGCTCATGTCCACAGCTACAACACAATTAACATCATTTGCAAAGATTCAAATGATCCCACAGAAAAGAAAGCTTTCAACCTCAATAAAACATTAAATGCTAATATTTTCAGTTATGGAACTTATACATTAAGACCGGATTTAGTTGATCCCTGAATATTTATTAGCGTTTGAGTACAGCAACACACCATGAAAGTTCTCTCCGACGCTTAAGAAGAAAGGAGTTGTGAGGAAGTTCGTGTTAGCGAGCAGAGCGAGGAACCGCAGCAGCCCAACCGCCGGTGTGTGTGGCACCTGAACAAGAGTTACAGTATTACAATTTGCATTACACAATGAATGCAAATAGACAATTTATCAATTAGACGTAATCACGAGGTAACAATTAATGTGTGGAAGTTCATTATTAATTAGACGTTATCACAAGGTAACAATTAATGTGCGGTAACGAGAAGTTCATGACAGATAAATGAAGAAGTGAATGCTTATTATAACTCACGTCGAACTGTCCAGGGTTGAGGTAGAGTTGAGCCACAAGGAGCTGGGTCACGAGGCAGGGCACGTGAGGCTCCAGCAGATGACAGCTCAACCAGCGGCGACACAGCCGCACGGTGCCGCTGTACGATGAGTACTCACCCCCAAGACTGAAATAAATACTCATATCATCAGTTTGCTCAAATAGCAAGTTCGCCGAGAATTCAAAGGCAGGGAAAACGTCAAGTAAATTCTCCATTAATTTAATTCGATGACGACATGATTAATTTACGGTACTTGGCGTTTTCTTTGCTTCTGAGTTCTTGGCAAGGCTGAAATATTTAAGTACTAAAGACTCAGAGCTTCGACACTCAAATGGTCAAGGATAGCAGACACAAATAGCTTTGAAATGCCATGTGGTGAAAGGAAAGATAACATTTTCGTAATAAGACAACTTCCATTTGGGATCTGTGTAGAGGTGAGCCGAGCCTCTGAAATTTTTTTCTGAAATGAACATTGAACAGTAAGATTTTATACATCTAAATACGCATCACTTGAACAAAATTATTAAAAAGCTAATGTGAAGCAAGTTATCCTTGATTGATTTCTATTTTCATTGAAGCAATTAGGGTTTAAGCAAAAAAATACTAGTTGCTGTAGCTAAATCTAAACGTGGCAATTCCGAATTCCAGTTAGCCATACCACCCAAAAACATACGAGTACCCAGCATCACTCAATATCTGAGATCACACGGGCTAAGGAAGCTCGGGTGTTGGAAACAATCAGAATACCAAGAACCACTCACCCGCTGAGAGCTGACACGATCCTTGGAGCGACGGTGGTGGCGATTTGTCTGGCTACGGAGGCAGGGGTGTCTTTGAGGCTGTCATCTTCATCGTCTTCTTGTTCTCCTTCGTCAGCACCCACCTGACGCAGCAGCGCCACCTCGCCCTGGTAAGTCACCTGCACCGCAAACACCCACCCACGCTGCGCAGGGGAAAAGGTAAATAGCCTATGAGGTGGCTTCATAAACGTATCTGCAAAATACCTGCTCCACAGCCCTAAAAATTGAGGTGAGAGAACCACTTAATAATATTTTTTAAAAAATCTCCAAGCTGACACAACTCAACATAAAGGACCATACTTACCATATAGGATGGAAATATCTTTCAGAAATAGCAAATCTATCAATAATTGTTTGCATTTGAGCAAGTTATTATACTATCATAATTAGCTTTAGATTTGCAATTTATAATATATACAGGGTAGCAACAATTAATGAAAATGAAGTGTAGGTATTCAATTGATGAAAACGCTAAAAAAAATAACATCTCCATGACTCCAGGAACAACGTGTAATAGCCTTTCAGAATCCCTGAATACATGGGCTTCTTGGCAACTACCCAGGGAAGCACAATGCCACCCAAAATATCTATGAGTAGACGCAACACTCACTATAGCGACGAGTAGGTGCGAGGCAGTGAGGGTGGCCGTGAAGCCCTTCTTCAGGAGCTGCTTCATCATGTGGCAGTGGAAGCCGCGCTTCATGACGTTCACGCGCTCCAGGTCTTCTGGCCACTTGCCGCTCCTTTCCAACGACACAAACACTGACGAGAAAGTTGATTCGTTAGAAATGTTATATTTTCACTTAATGAGGCGAATTTCGAACAGGTCATGGTATGGAAAGAATACACATCTAGTAGTGTTATCAATATTCAAGTGATATTTGGTGTTTTAAGACAATAGAGATCATCCATAAATTGTCTTAAATACTGAAAATTTTGATGGAATGCATAAAAACATGAGATATTGAAATTTTTTGGGTGAAGATTTTAAATACATTTAAAATGAATTGAAGGGGAAAGACAGTTCCGACACTTGAAAAAAATTAGGCAAGACGTGACGTACCGGTATCTGTCAAAATACTAATGAAACTAGACGAGATTGCAGCATATACATGGTGATTCATGGAAATTTCCCGATTTGAAAGCTCAATAAAAAAATAACTAGTAAAGATATCATTACAATATAAATTTTATTGAAAAAAACATAACCTAAAATTTTTTATCACTTAGTTTTATAAATGGCATCGCACAAATGACGGCCCCCATTGTCATGGATAAATTGGCCCACATTTTTGAAGTTCCTGTCAACTCGCTGAAGCTTATTGACCGGTATGTTGGAGATGGCTTAGCGTACTATGTTCTTCTTTAAATGAGGTAAGGCCCTAGGACAGTCATTGTAAACAATTGATTCAAGATAACCCCCATAAAAATCAAACTGAGCCAAATCGAGGGATCGGGCCGGAGAAAGAAGGTGACTTGGTAAGGAGATAAAGATATAATGGAATGGCTATTAGAAAAGCCCGTCTCAACAGCAAACGCACGCTGCTCACTTATCCAATGCATAGTGGCAACAGACTAGGTGGGACAAAAAAGTCATGACCTTGCCCTTCATATGGAATACTTCTCAACAACATCTGGCTTCGCGGAGCGAAATACAAAACAGGAAGTTTATGTGAATCACCCTGTATATAATGCTTTACCATTTAAGATCATACCTTCGATCGGATCAGGAGTTTCCGCTAATTTGAATGCCTTGGATTTCTGAAAAATGAAAATAGTGAAATTAGCACGCTAGCTCTCGAGGTAAATTTTAAACTCAACTTGTATAAAGGGTGTTCACGATCTATTTAGAATTTATTAAAACCAAAGTCAAAGGGACTGAAGATAAATACTTAATTTCAATATACGATCAATTATTTGGCGAGTTAATCTTGTCGATAAATCAGAAACTCGGACGGATCTGATGCAGACAAGCATTCGATATTGGAATAAAATTGTTCTATAAATTATAACTTCATTTAAACTAGGTGTCAAACATCAACAAACATTATCCTTTGTCATATGACAACGTATTGACATCAGTTGACAATGACAATGTCGATTTTAGGAGTCCACTTGAGCTCAGAAGTAACGTAAGATTTCATGCATATGTAACCCATATGGCGTATATGTACTTCCAGTGATATTAAACTTGATGAGCTCGTTAGTTTCAAACCCTGAACTCACAGGCAACTGGGGATCAACACGAGGTCTTGGGAAGACCTCACATTGCGCCAAGACAGGAGCAGAGCTCGCGAAGCCCGTCACTGAGAGGTTAACATCGAGCGTTCGAACTTGGCTGCACAGCTCATCATATGCTTGTTCTGCCTGCATGCAGAGCGTCTCGCCCGTGCTGTACCTGCCACACAAATACATGTGAGAGTGTCTGCCATGTATAGGGTGTGATTAATTAAAAGGAATTTATTGAGTAATGGTTTTTATTTGAGACCAAGCTTAGAAATGGACATTACATCGATATGGTGTGATTAAATAAAAAAGTATATGAACGTGATTTTCTTTATTTGAGATGAAGATTAAAGGGAAGACTCCCTTCAAAAGTGTCTGTTAATAAAAGGTAATTATATTCGTGATGCAAAGATAATCATCGTTAGAGAATAAGCCTAAAAAGTGTGTGAGAAGTCAATCAAGCTTTAAACATTCATACTATCACAGTGAAGACCATTGGGGACCATTCTAGTTAAAAAAATATCTAATTCATAAAAGACTCAATTTCAATACGCATGAAGCAATTAATTTATTAGGCCTCTTCAACAGTGAAAGTTATAATTAAATGCAAATTAAGAATGAATTTTACATCCAATAGAATTCATTTACTTCATTACTTTCCTGTAAAATTCACAGAATTGTACATCCAATAATTGAATCGCTATCTCTAAAATCACCTCGTTGGTCAGCACATTTCCGGATCACGGAAGTGTATTTAAACTGCAGGATTTTACAGGGATAACGCACGTGTCATAATTATAAATGAGCTCACCTGACGTGCTCATCGATGGCCGTCGGTAAGCGCAAGACGTTCTCCAGCTTCGGGCCGACTTGGAACACGTCGCATCGCGGGATCATCATTAGCATTTATCGAAGTACGTATGAAACTTTCAGCGAAGCATTAAATGCGATGATGAATAAAATCAAAATATAATCAACAATAAATTTATTGATAAAAATAATAAACTCCAAGCGCACGCGGAATCAGAGAAGAAAAAGTTGACGCTTGTTATCGTGTATTTTGAATTTTTTGTTTTATTCTCGTAAGGTTAATAGTCAGTTAAGTTTTGAATTAAACGTGAGCTTCTTTGGTTTTTAACCTAGCTGTCAATGGAGCAGATGTCCACAACGTTTCTGTTTAGCTTACAAATAAGATTTGCAGCTTCTTTGCACCCGAAATTCACGTCAGTTTGCGGCTGAAGCAAGACTGAAGTTGTGCTGTGGTACCTGCGCTGTGGTACCTGCGCTGTAGTGCTGTGATGCGGCGGTGCCTGCGCTCTGGTGCTGCGACGCTGTGGCACTTACGCTGTGGTCCTGCGACGCAGCGGTACCTTCGCTGTGGTGTCGAGGCACTGTGGTACCTTCACTGTGGTGCTACGGCACTGTGGTGCCTTCGCTGTGGTGCTGCGGCGCAGTGGTACCTTCGCTGTGGTGCTGCGGCACTGTGGTACCTTCGCTGTGGTGCTGCGGCACTGTGGTACCTTCGCTGTGGTGCCGCGGCACTGTGGTACCTTCGCTGGTTCTGCGGCACTGTGGTACCTTCGCTGTGGCACAGTGGTACCTTCGCTGTGGTGCTGCGGCACTGTGGTACTTACGCTGTGGTGCTACTGTGGTACCTTCGCTGTGGTGCTACTGTGGTACCTTCGCTGAAATGAGCTCACCTGACGTGCTCATCGATGGCCGTCGGTAAGCGCAAGACGTTCTCCAGCTTCGGGCCGACTTGGAACACGTCGCATCGCGGGATCTGGAGATGCCTGTGCACAATATACGTAGAACAAAGTATAAGCCATAGTTCATACAAGGGAATTGAATTTCTAACTTAAAGATTGAGATAAATTATTATAACGAATAAAATCGATACATAAATGAAAGAATTTTGAACGCAAAATAATGCGCGAATTTTTTTGCAAATACTGGTGTTACATGATGAATAGGAGTAGTAAACGAATCCTACACTTCCCTCTAGGTTTTATTAGGTCAGTTATTTATCCAGCAATTCCCTTCAGACGTTTTCCCTTCTCAATGGTCACCTGGACAGTCACTAGACAACATATGCTTCACCCTTGACCAACAATTATTATATTTACAAACGACGCAGATCACGGACATGGAAATACATCACTTATTATGCCAGAAATACTTTAGAAGGCAAAGCGTTCTAAAGTATTTCAGGAACGCAAAGTATAAAGTATTTAGAACGCAAAATATGTCCAGGTGCTACAAGCACCTGGACAGCAAATGCTAGGCTAGTTTGCCCGGTGTTCAATTTATCGCTAATTCTGCCAGAAGTCCTTTAGAACATGAACCTCAATGGTCACCTGGACAGCAGATGCTTGGCTATTTTGCCAGGTGTTCAATACATCACTTATTCTGCCTGAAATACTTTAGAACACAAAGCTCAATGGTCACCTGGACAGCAGATGCTTGGCTATTTTGCCAGGTGTTCAATTCATTACTTATTCTGCCTGAAATACTTTAGAACACAAATCTCAATGGTCACCTGTACAGCAGATGCTTGGCTATTTTGCCCGGTGTTCAATTCATTACTTATTCTGCTCGAAGTACTTTAGAACACAAAGCTCAATGGTCACCTGGACAGCAAATGCTTGGCTATTTTACCCGTTGTTCAATTTATCGCTAATTCTGCCAGAAGTCCTTTAGAACACAAAGCTCAATGGTCACCTGGACAGCAGGTGCTTGGCTATTTTGCCAGGTATTCTACGGCAGTCGCCGGCGCCCTCGCTACCGTCACCGAAGGCGACAGCCTCGCATGCCGTGCCGTCCCTGAAGCGCCTCAGGCTGCTCAGCTCGCCCCACAGATCTCGGAATGCTGCTGGGTCGTCTGCCACGTCCTGGAAATATCAGAATTTAACGAAATTTATTTCTCACTTTCAACAGTAAAACTGAGTCTAATGTCCTGCCTCTGAAAGTCTGGGTTTCTATTTTCTAAAATTCACTTATATTTGTTTTGGACAAAGCGGCTGCTTCATTCTAGTGTTATTCTATTCAGTTGCGCTGTCGTTTTTTCTATATTTTTGTTATTAAATTAGGGCAATCAATTCGTTACAAGTAGGTATAAAGTTTGAACACTGAACTCGTGTCACCATGTAAAATGCAACAAAACTACAATACAAGTTCAAAATTACAATAAAAAGTGCAAGGTAATATATGATACCCGGTAGTACTCTGTTTGTTAAGAGTGCTAAAGAAACCAAAAGTTTGTACTGTAAACACTGTGCGAGGAAGAGATGTAATAATAAATCTTGAAAAATAAGAAAATAAATTCGCATTCAAATGCGAAAAAAGAATAAAGAAAACAATGAAGACAACTTTTCGACAATACACAATAATGAAATAGGACGCTGATTAAAAATTTAAACGCTTATTACTTTGATCAAGAGACTGAATGCAACGGCAGGATCGAGCCGCAGGCCTAGCAGCATAAACTCGGGATCTTCAGGAGGATTTTCGTCCACATCCCAGGCTTCATAAGTGACCAATTGAGGAGCAATAAGCCGGGCACGCCCAGTCAAACCCTTCTCCAGTACAACGATCACGCCATCAATAATGGGATGCATTTCACCGACGGTCGCGTTTTCGTCGTCAGTGTTGGACGGCGGCGAGAAAAGCGAGGGGTGAAGCTGGTTCACCAAGTGACCAGCAGTGGACGAGTTGGCCGAGCTATAGAAATGCGTCAACGTTTCCTTCGAGATCCTGAAAAAATTTTTCATTATATGAATTGCGATAATAATAAAAAATAAATGTCAGCAAAAGTGGGGAACATTCAACTTGAAGTCATGTTATATAAGAAATTGACAAAATATCCACAAACTGAACTACAAACTAAATCATATTACAGCGGGAAGAAAATATAGATGTGATATTAAATTTTCGGCGTGAGCAAGCAATTACCTTATAAAAAGACTCTGGTCGAAGGTTAGATGGAAATCTGTTCTTTGGATGAAGAGGCTTTCGAAACTCTCCCGAGAGTCGGAAGAAAGCACTGTAAGGCCAAGCTTGGCTTCTTGCTGAATCTGCTCACAATAAACCGATATAGTTTAGTCTAATGTATAAGTACCATGCATGCACAATTTTAACAGGGAGTCTTATATGTAATTTAGATCCGAGATATAGGTATACAGAAAAAATCTCTGAATATTCAGGAGCTCGAATAAACAAATCATCAACTGCTCTTTCAAAGTACAGAGCAGTAAAGTAGGATTAAGCTTATACAACATGAATTGGCGATTGACAATAGTAGTATACCTATACCTAGTTTTCTCATATATTATCAACCATCATATTAATCATAGTAGATCTAAGTCTTCCTAAACACTGACCTGGGAGAGTATATGTGGTGACACAGTGGACGTGAGGTTAAGATATCCTGAAGGATCAACAAAGACGACCTTGTAGTGGAGGTGGTGCCCGGCGACAGGCAAGACTGTGTTGGCGAAGGGGTTGGCGGGCGCAGAATTTTTGTTCAGTTCGTACAGGCTGACGCCAGTTTTATCCCAATTACATTCATGCTCTGCAGAAAAAAATCATATGCATTGTGTGAACATAAATGCAGCACTCATATAGCAGAAATTGGTTATAACTCGTTCTTACATTTCATTGGTACAGTAAAAGTGACAACTGTTTGCTTACTGATAAAAACAGTCTGAAATTTGTCTCAAAATAATCATTAAATACATGAGAAAAATAAACCTAGAAAAAATGAAAAATATTATTCGATAATCAACATCCAAAACTAGTAAATATAGGGTAAGCATGAAATTTTAATAGAGTGCCGGCTTCAGGAAGGACCTACCTAGATAATTAAACCCCCAAAGTTGGTTAAATAACCATAAATGTAGGCTTACAGAAAGACTTATATTGATAATTAAGCTACATAACTTACCTAGATAATAAAGTTACGTAACTTACCTAGATAATTAAGCTACATAACTAAGCTTGGTAATTAAGCTAAGTAACTTACCTAGATAATTAAGCAAGACTCTGAAGACCTGATATGCGCTCATCTGAGCATTGATGCGTCGCAGTCGGTATAGGAAGAGCACCAGCATCGACACCACGTGACCCGACATCGAGCCTCGGCCCTGGTGGTATACAGAAATTCTCACCTTAAACTGAAAATACGATGAGCATCGAGGTACTGCCGAGATATAACGACAAACCTTTCCTTTAGTAACATTCATATTTATATCCGGATTTATTCAGCAAATTTCCATCTTGTTTGCATGAAGATAACTTCAATGTCATTTTCAATCTATTTATCCTTCAGAATCTTCATCAGATGAATAGATTTCCTTTGTAGTGTCTTCAGAAAAGCAATGTTCCCTTTGCAAGAACAACAGTTCGCGACCAAATCGTCTATAGCAGCAAAAAATTTCACTTCAATGCGTGTCATATAATCAATGAATGTATGTACAAATGAAACAATTGGCCCTGAACCGATTGCTCTGCCATTAAAACGATAGCAGTGGACACTGCGTTTACTAACGGATCAGCTGTGAAGCTAAAGCCATCAAATAGTCAATACCACACAAGTGGAATAATTTATCACAACAAATATTTCATTACGAAAATTGCACTGTACATTCACGAGGTACAAAGTCTCGAAAGGACAGTAATGAATTGCGACATTGAAGCTATCGCAAGACTGTGTAGCAATATATACTGTAGATATAGGTACGCAATTCAAAATTAGGATGGCATAACAGAGCCTCAACCACTCCTTAGTTAACAGCAAAAGAGGCATCCAAATTAAATAAAGAGAGAAGAAGTTTAGGTCATGAATCCTGGCGACTTGAGAACTTAGTTATGCATTACAGAATTAATGCTTGGTGATATAAACTGGATGAGACCAATAGTACCTATAGGTGTGGTTTTTTTAGTAATTTTGCAAAATAGCCATTACATGCGCCCTGATCTCTGTCCTGTTCACGTCTTGTAGATACCCAATCTTCGTCACAGTCCAGGTTACTGGCAAGCTTTGCAGCACCAGAATCTTTGCCGAGGCTAAATCCGACGGCAACGTGTTTAGGGTACTGGCAAAAACGTGTGCAAAGATTTTCTAAGATACCGAGAATTTTTTATCTTCTTAGCAGTTTGTCTTTTTCTTTACTAATTCAGTTTTCCTTTCTTCTAACCGTTCTTCCACATCAGCCAACTGAGACACCTCCTCTTGGCCTCCGGGTTGCAATGTAATATAAAATAAAAATCAATGTGCGCAAAAATTTTCGTAGATAGAAAGAGACGAACGTTACACTAACCTCATTGAGATGTCGCTGACGCAGCCACACTTTGACGAGCTTGACGGCCTGCAGGAGGCCTGGCATGGCCGGCAGTGTGCTCTGCAGGAGGCTGTTGTTGCTTGCCAACGCCAGGTCAATACCGCACAAGAAGTTGATGCCACTACACGAGACATTTCCTGCAATAACACATTAACTTCATCAATGCTGCAATATCAGTTATTAATAGCATGTATCAAACGTTTAATGACATATGAATACAGGATAACAGTTAATGAACAGGTTAAAAGTTTCATACGACCAGTCCTCCATGTAGCAATATAGAAACATAAATGAGAAACTACTTGACGCTGACTTCACCATTGGTAGACAACTTACCTTTAGTCTTGATGTTAAGCTTCTGTGGTGAGAACGCGTGCACCTTGAAAGCAGAGTCAGCAGGCACAGGCAGCAGCCTAATCTGCCACTTACCCGCACCTCCAGTCAATTTGGGAGTAATCTGAAGCAACATACAAATAATGGAAAGATGGTTTAGGTGTCTCTCTGTTTTTTATATAGAAGTAAATGAAAAACTTTCAAGCACACATTCAGAAGCAATGCAATCTTTGAAACGTGCATTGATTTATTATGACATCTACTCCATCCAGTTGCATAATATCAAGTTAAACCATAAATATTTTTGAAAATGAGTTGCTAATGATTTAAGTTGCTTGCTATTAAGTTAAACCATTTATATCTATGATAATAACTTACCAATAATACCGGTCGCAGGGGTTCATCGAGATGGCGACTCCAGTGCATTTGTGCCACCAGGGAGCAGCTCTTCAGAGACTTGGCGATGTGGGCTAAATAATGTGCACGCTTCAGGAGCCACCGCCCATCACGGTGATCACCAGCTTCAATGCAATGCTGCAGCAATAATACAAATGATTAGGAACAATTGAAGCCAAAGGTAGAGATAGCCAATTCAACCCCATAGAAATTATATTAACAAATTGTGCTCATAAAATAACTTCTCAACAGTTAGCAAGATAAAGTACCTAGGTATAGAGTTATTAATGTGCTGAATGCCATACAAACCACTGGTGGGTTTTTGCTGATTTCCATCTGCTGCAAAACGACACAACACATGGGCTGGTCTTTTATTAAAATAAACAGAATATTTAATTGACTCCCAAAAGTTGGTATTATTGGTATATTTATCACACATCGTGTTGATAATAAGATATACAGGCTTGAAACAATAGAAAATGTGTTTATTGTATTTGAATACCAGAGACAAAGCATATTTATTATTTTTAATTGGAGTGTTTAATTGGAACCTGAAGTGAATTGTACTAAGAGTCAGTTGGTAGTTTCAAGAACAGCATTCACCGTGTTAATAAATGAGCACAACAGAAAAACAAATGTGAATGCTTACATAAAGATAAGAAAAATCAATGACCTTTATATTGAGGAACACAAGTAAATATACCGGTATCACATGTTTTTAGGTAGACCCTACAGTTAGAGCTGAACACATAGATATATTCCTAAAGAATTAACCACAAATAGTACATAATATCCATTTTAATTACAATCAGAAACTTGCCTGTGGCACTTCAACTTTAAGGTCTATAACTTTGCTGAGAGTGGTGATGGTTCCATCAGCATAGGAGCCTGTACATGCAACACCAGCAGGTGGAACAAACTCAAATGTGCCCTGAACCCCAGGCAGCCAAGGCAGGGGGGCAGTGACTCCTTCATTTGAGTACGAAGACCAGTCACTAAACTGAAATAATTAGAACAATTATTTCCATGACAAAGACCGGCTATGGAACATGAAATTTTCCACAACAGTAATATAAAAAGCTGCATTGCAGGGATATATAAAATCCAAACTATACTCAAAATATTCCATTAATCTTGGAATTTTATCAAATAAGTAAATAGGAAATGGATATACGTACACACTCAGAGCATAATGACAACTTACTTTAACAGAAAAATATTGCTCAAAATTAATAGATCCTAAAGAAATAGCACACAATACTCACAGGAACAGCTTCACTTGCTGTGGGCAGAGCAAGAAGATACTCAGAAAACTTGCTGATCCATTGATCCAAAATCACCTTGTGCTTTGCTTTGATGGTCACTTCACTCAGGAGAGTCTCAAGCTGTAATGCATAATTACAACTCAACTTATGATAATAATTCTGACAAACATGAACAAGCTGAAATGAGAATTTCTGTGCACACTTCACAGGAAGTAAAAACAATATTCAATGAAGAAAAATTAGGCAACCTAAAAAAATATATTGAGGCAACCTTCTATTTCTTCATTGATTCATTGAGAAATAAAAGCACTTTAGGAAAAGCCATGGCTCAAATTAATTTATTAAAAGGTATTTTATGATCATTTCTATTAATTTTGACATTACTCAGCAAATACCGATAACTAATCATAACTAAAAATTTGAAAAATAATAAGTACTGGGATCATCAAGGAAATAGAAAATCATACCATGTAGGTATCCTTATAATGTTAATGATAAATTAATAACCTAGTGAGGCCCATGGCACACAGAGCAGGGCTTTGCTTTACGTTTTCAAAATGGTTCTAAATCTCAAGTCAAACTGGAAATAATTTAATAAAATTCATTCTAAAAATCTTCAACTAATTTCAATGACCTATGAATATATCACTCATATTTTATTGAAATCAGTGATACAGATAGCCAACAAAATCATTGTTTCTTTTAACACTGATAAAACTACTGCTGAACGTTATCGATCAAAGAAGGTATATTATTAGATGAGTTTCAGCCTTCCTGTCAATATTCCCACCTGTATTCTGAAGAGGCTATTATTATACAGAGCCTTTGTTTCCTTCATGAAGATCAACTCTTGAGTGGAAGGAAGATCTTCAACAATCCGCTGGTGTTTTGCAAGCGGCCCATCCTCTTCCTGAACAAAACGTAGTTATTTGTTAAAGAAAACAAATGAATAAATAAAAAAATTCATAAATAAAATTTATACAGGAATTATTTGAGCAATTTACAAGTGCCATTAAGTATTCAGAGCCATTTACAAGCCGCAAACTTATTTACAAGGTCCTGTTCACGTGCTACCCCAAATCTCTAATTTTACCCTAGAAACAGCACCATCAGTAATATTTGTCTTTACTTTAGTAGCAACTGAACACATGATAATGAAGTCTGACCTGACTGCAACTATGCAATCTTCAACAAAATGTTTTGGGTTGACTCCAAACCATTACCTTCTGCAGGATATTTTGTCCTGAGTGTTGAAGTCCAGCAGATTGCAGAAGTTAAAAATTGAATGAAATGACACATTTGCAAAATGCCAACTGCAATTTTTTCAAATGAAAATACATGATGTTAGAGGCTAGAGCCCTGAGATTTCATACCTACTGAAATTATATGATATTAGAGCCATAGATTATTTAAAAAAATAGGACTTTTCCCAATCTGCCCTGGGCGGTGTCCCGTAATATATATATAGTCAGATGGGGTAAGACAGGACCGAAATCACTAACAAGCCTGTAGCACCTATACCATGAATAACTAGAAAACCCTAAACCTGTCACAAGGTGCATTTATGCAATGGGCTTCTAAGCTACAACTCAGACGTTTTGCTTCTAACATAGTTTTCTGTACAGATTAAGAAAAGTGAGCTGGTCCCATCATACCCCATTGGGGTAAGATGGGACCAGGCTGGGGTAAGACAGGACCAACTGGTAATTCTTATGTTACAAGGTTTCTAATAAAAGTACAATTCTGATATTTAATATTATCCATCCAGGACCAACTGGTAATTCTTATGTTACAAGGTTTCTAATAAAAGTACAATTCTGATATTTAATATTATCCATCTAGAAACACATTATTTGATTAAACAACCACTTGTTACTGTTTTGTGTTGTGGGAAGTCATTTCAAATATCAGTCACATTGGAGGTTTTGTCACAAGAAAACTTTGTTGACATTAAATGCAGCCATATGATCCATTTAGTCTTTTGAGCAAAAAATATGGATGATATTATATAGCTGGCATAGTTAATTAATGTCAGGCAGTGATGGTAGCAGGTAGGAATGCCAAGTATGTCTCAAAAGTTGCTCATTACTTGAGGTTACCTGCCTACATCCACAAACCTGGCCGAAAAATTTTTTGTCATTAGACAGAGCTTATTTCCTAAACAGGGTTAACTATTTTGTGACCCTTCTTCACATAGGTTTTCTTTAAAAATTAGCCAGAAATTCAATATTTGCAGAAGAGGGTTGAAACAAACACTGAAATGACAGGCAATGATTGCTCTAACATATTCTTTTGTCAAATTAAATTTAGTGCAATTAGAATGCACACCATGGGCAGGTCCTTTCTTACCCCATGGAGGCTGCGATCCTGTCATACCCCATTTGACTATACCCCGTCTAGTAGAAAAGGCCACAATTTTTTTTTTTTTTTGAGGTTGACATACACAAGTTCCATCAATAAAATTTTAAAGCTCACACCAGTCTGCAAGTTTTTAACTTTTTATTGAGCAAAATTTTTTAATATGGCAAATATTTTTTTTTTTTAATGCAGACCTTATCCTCAGCAAAACTAGGGTACTTTGCCAAAATATAATTTTTTAACATTTTTTCAGTGATTTTTAGGGCTAGTAAATGTATCATGTATGATTTCTCTATTTTCTCAACTTCCTTCATTTAATGCTACAGTACATAGATAGGAAAAATGTTGAAGTTTACACCGCCATTTCTAGGTAGTTTTGCAATACCTATTTCAAAACAGTTTTGATGTTATAACAGTTTTAAGCCAAAAAAAAGGACTGTCCCAATTTACCCTGCCAGTCCCTTATTACCCATATGATGGTATCAAATAATCTACACATATCAAGTAGGTAGTACCTAAATTTGTTGTTACAAATTACAGTTGTTTAGAAAGTAAGGCCCCTAGCAGGCTAGCAGCTGCTTGAATTTTTATAGACTGACACTGACTGGGTCTGGGAGGAAGAGAGGTTTTGATGCCAATTAAATCAGAACATTTTACTGCTTACCTGATGAATAAATGTCCGTTTTGTTGCTCCTGTGCTCTTCGTTCTATGAAGAGGTCTTGATGCATTCCCATTATATTGAGTTCCCTCACCATCAAACTCATCTACAGGGGCTTTGGCCATGTTCAGTTTGATCACTTTTTTCGTAGTAAAATTTGAAAAATATTCAATTGCAGTACACTAAACTATTTAGGGAGCTAACAAAAAACATATAACAAATAAGTTAGAGCTTTTTATTTGGCATTTGAAACGAGTAACGCAACCGCGACGTCACTGACCAAACACAACTTCGTACCTAGGTATAACACCCAATTCATTCTGTTCGCAAAGTTTCTCGTGACTGGGATTTAGATTATCAAGCCTGGAACATACAATTTTCTCAATCGCAGAAAATATAACAAGAATGGCAGTTTAATTCGCCACCAATTTTAATTATCACGCTAAACTTAACATTTTAGAATGTTTTCCGCGCCTAAAATTTTTCAAATCGAAACCAATTTTTACCAAATTATCTACGAAGCTATTTATCCACAATACACTCCACTCCTGCTATCGTTATAAGAACTATTTTCGTCCGTTTCCTTTTCACGTAAGGCGCAACGCGCAAAGTTTAAGTCACCTCTTTGCACGCTTTACTAACTCAGTGTGTAGAGCACTACCTGAAAACAAAGCTGACGAAAATAATTCTAATAGCGCTTGCATGAGCATATTGTGAATATATAGCTTCCTCTTTATTAGGTCAAAATCTGTTTCGATTTAATAAATTTGATGCGTGGAAAACATGCTAATACTTAGCATTTAGCGCGCTAGTTAAAACGAAGTGGATAAAATAAATCTTTCGTAAAATTATAAGCTTAATGTCAATGGATATCCCATTATTAATTTTGCCTTCATCGGTTTCGAATTGACAAACATATGCGTGTAAAACCTGTTATGGAAATTCGTCCCATAAGTGTCGATGTAGTTACCTCATTATCACACATATAGCGTTTCTGTTCGCACAATCGTGAACCAATTTACTTTTTGACATGATACTTTTCGGGCAAACATTATAGTCAATGTCTCGCAACATTTTCAACTAAAATTACGTCTTATTATTTAGATCTTGAACGTACATTTTTCAGCTTCATTTCACGTTTCATTGTTCTGTTCTTTCCACATCGCCAGAATCTCCAAACACGTTTCCAGCCAAGATAGACGTTATTATAAGGATACAATTCACTGACAACCAAGCAAACGAAATTTTTTTTATCTTTCCGCTAGATTGATTTTATACTCTAATGTTTTAAATTCCGAAGAACGGGAAATCAATAACAGTTATTCCGATTTCTTAGGCATGTAATAATAATTACAAACACCAAAAATTGCCCAGGCGTGGGAATAAAGGAAACAGACGTCGCTTGCGACGTTTTTGTGATATAACTGCCGATGGTCTTCATTCAGCCTCCGTTGTGCGTGGCAAAATTTCCTGAACAAAAATTTCCTTTCATGCGATTAAAATTTCAACAAAGTCGTTCTTAAATAAATTAGTTCAGCAGTGTCATTGTGTACAGTAATATAATAATTTTATTCAGGGCTTGTCTCGATGTTGTATTGCTCAACAGGAGCATCGATCAAATAACTACTATGTCATTATGCTGAAAGCGTATACAATATGGTAACCATAAAATCTTTGAGACTCAGAATTTGCTACACAATTGGTGTCAAGAAAAGCCTCGCAGTCCGCCAATCTCCGGAATTGTGCAGCTTGTATGTCAAACTTGCATGGAAATTCGTCTGGCGGGCCTTTTGACCTGAAAGCCAAAATTATTTCTTATATACTGGAATCTGAATAGGGAATTCGAACAATAATTTGCTTGCAATTCCTATTTTAAGCAGCCAGTTAGAGGATAATATCCAAATTTACATTTATTATCAAAAAGAGGAATCATGCGAATTCCTACAAATTTACTCGATCTTCAAACATTCCTTTGCATTTTCTTTTTTTATTTTGAGTTTTTTACAAAAAAAAATTTTCAAGCGTAATCTACCATTTATAAAATCGAATTTAATATTAATCCATGTTATGTGAACACTGTTACAACTTCATATTATATTATATTATATTATATTATATTATATTATATTATATTATATTATATTATATTATAAAAATCCTAGATGAGGCATGGACGCATAAGCGGCTGTACGTAGTAATCCGGCAATAAGTTCATGAAAAAAACTCATTTCAGGCAGAGATATTACCCCTCATGTTTTTTTGACATCGGTTATAAATCGATTACTTTTTGGTTCATTATATTAAAAATTATGCTGTTTATTCGGGTCTAATATCACCGTTTAATCGTTAAAATCATGTAGAATTAGAACACTTCTTTAGGCATCAAGGTCTGAAGGTCTTGGGACGCTCATACGTTGAAAGGCGATAGATGGCAAGTGTTCGGTTATCAAGACGACTAATGCAAGAAATTAATGAACCAAAATAGGGTTCAACACTTTGCAGTGTGCCTGTAAGAACTGCCAGACTATGCAGTGGTGTTCTACCGTATGACCAAAGATTTGTCATTGAGATCAATGGTGACTCTTGAGGTGCAAGTGACCTATTTGGTCCACGGTCTTGCATGCTCTTCAGATCATTGAGTGTTACGTCTATTTGTCCCAAATTATGAGCTTTTTTAACTTCTTCTAGAACATAACTTCAACCATCTTCAAATACGATTAGATTTTGAATACGCATTCCCTTCTTCAAAAATAAAATTCAACATTGTGAGCCTGTGTGCAAAAAATATTCCAAAATGGAATTTTTCTGGGCGTCCCAGCAGTTGGAGCGCTAAAAATTTTTGGTACGTTTCAAGATTATTTCAGAATTGAATTGATGCTTGCTTCTAAGGCCATGAAACAGAGTTGAGAGAGGTGTACTACCGAACAATACAGTGTATAATTTCCTCTGCACAAAACATTATTGGCTGCTGTCTGGAAGCTCGACATCCTGTCTTACTGATCATCAATCATTTTTCATCTCTTCATCTATTCTTAACATCCATATTGATTGGCCACTCCATTATTTTTACTGATAATGTACAGCATAAGCATAATATAAAAGGTATATATTCGAATAATTTTTTTGCGCGCGTGACGTCAATTTATCATATTTTTGTGCTCCCAATAAAATCAATAAATTATTAACATAAACTCGAGTCGTGGTGTATATAATATGTATCTCACCAGGAAATATATATTTGTTCGTACACCGTTCCCTATAAAAGTTTCCCCCATAATGAAATATACAAGAACGAAAGTCCCATGGGTTTCGTCCGTCAAGAGAAAGAATTATGATGTGATGATAGAAGAATTATGATGTGATGATAGAAGAATTATGATGCGATGATAAGAAGAATTATGAAGTGATGATAAGAATTATGATGTGATGATAAGAAAAATTATGATGCGATGATAGAAGAATTATGATGTGATGATAAGAAGAATTATGATGTGATGACAGAAGAATTATGATGTGATGATAGAAGAATTATGATGTGATGATAGAAGAATTATGATGTGATGATAGAAGAATTATGATGTGATGATAAAAAGAATTATGATGTGATGATAAGAATAATTATGATGTGATGATAAGAAAAATTATGATGCGATGATAGAAGAATTATGTTGTGATGATAAGAAGAATTATGATGTGATGACAGAAGAATTATGATGTGATGATAGAAGAATTATGATATGATGATAATAATAATTATGAAGCGATGATGGAAGAATTATGATGTGATAATAGAAGAATTATGATGTGATGATAAGAAAAATTATGATGCGATGATAAGAAGTAAATAAAATGGTGATGGAGTTGTCCTTTGAAAAGTTTTCATTGAAGGTACATTGAATTTACTTTGGTCTTTTCTTTGTTTTTAAATTCTTGGTGAATGACATTACAAATTTAAAGCAGGTACTGACGCCTAAGTAACAATGAATTACTGGTTTGAATCTCTATTTTTTACAAATGGACAATATATTTTGTATGCAGGATTTTGTTGAATATTGTGCCTCAAATCTTAAGAATCGTGGTCTTTCCTTCACAATCATTCAAATGAGTTACTTGCCTCATCAATTGCCTTAAGGATAACTTTAATAATCACGTAACCTAAACATCAATGATATATCTTTCCTTACAGCTATGAAAAGGAGAACTATAAAAATTAAATTATTCATAAAGAAAAAAGTCCGGTGGGCTTGAATCCACTAAAAACAACATAAATTATAGAGCATTTTAAATTAATGGTATATGTCTGTAACCAAAAAGCTTTGCTCGAAAAAGTTTGGCAAAATATAACATGTCAGCGTCCCATCCTGTTCTTGACAGTCATTAGTACAATAAATGAAGACGACCAGACACACTTTGACTGATGAGGAGCCGCTATACGCTTCCTTTTATCCTCTACATTTCAGGTTTGAAGCCAAAAAAATGTATCCTATAACCTACATATCCAATGTCTACTAATCAGTATTCTTTCATAAACAGTTTTGAAAACTATTCAATGTCTCGTAGAAAAAATGTCCAATGGCAATTTTCAAGTTATCAACATTACTTTCACAGTTGGCAAGCATGAAATATATATAATTACATATATTATATATTAGTTCATGTATTGATTTAATTATTATGGGGCTTAAAATTTTGGTTCTAACCCAAATAAATTTATGAATAAAATAAAAAGTGAATAAAATTCACTTCAAATATAGTCATGAATCGGAAATTATTGAAATTCAGGCTCAAGCAAGAAAGCTCAGCGACTCCATCAGCTTGACAGGCGTGTTTATGATAGAAGCATAAAGAAAATCTGAGTAAAAAACGTACTTCTTTTGCATGATTTATTAAGACAAGATCAACGTGATGCCGCATATTGTAATGCTCGACAGCGGCTGGTTTTTCCCCCACATATGAAACGCAATGTTCGTTAACTTACCGCACTTTTCGTGCAAAGATACCGGGTGTGGCTGTGAATGCGGGGTTCACGATTTAGAATATTTTCTTTGGCCGCTTTTTAGCGCATTTTCTCATTTATGAAAAATGCACTATTGTGCTCGCCATGTCCGTCTGTCCGTCCGTCTGTCTGTCTGTCCGTCCATGACTTCATGTTTTCGTCGACGAGAAAATGCACTCTCTGTCACTCACTGCAGTGAGTACTGAGTTATATATTTTTTCTGCTGTTCAGTTGAAGAAGATACCGAGTTCTGAAATATAGCAAAAATCTGTAATTGGGATATGTTCGTTATGTTCGTTATGATCGTTATATGGATATCTGGGTAC